GCAAAAACATATATCTGTCCAGCATGGACTCTTTCATTCCATTTTCAGCTCTCTCTTGCTGCTGTTCTGAAATCCAGCCACTAATATTTTCCTTTTGATTCACATTCTGTACAGACAAAATGCTACTGAACAACCGTTTTAGTCTTTCTGCTTCCATTTTCTCTTTTGGTGGCAACACTCCATAGGCCAACTTAGGGAACAGTTTGTCATATTTTCTGAACTCATAAAATAGTTCATCAGATTGAATGCGGTCTTTCTCCTTTGCTTTTTCCAAGCTGCCTGCAGACTTCACTGGTTCATTGCCAAAAAGGGCAAGGTAACCAGCCCTGAACACAATATTGTAGCTAAAGTTAAAAAGTCCATCTTCTTTCCACTCATTCTCATCTTTTGCTGTACCCACACTGTGTAGCATCAGGTTCTGAAGGTTGCTCATCATGGCCTGGGTCATGACTACCAAACCGTCCCCCATCAGATACTTGTTGCTAGAAGCTTGTAGAAGTTTGTGGTCATCATCTAGGGGATGGTAACCAAAGACCCTTGCCACCAGTTGTTGTGCAAACTTGGTAAAATCCAGCTTTGTTCGTGCCTCCTTTACCACTGTTCCGAAAGACAATGGATCCATTAAGAAATGGAAATAGAAGCCAGCTAACTGCACTGTGAACATATCTCCATGCTTCTCCTTCATTTTCTGAAGGAACTTAGCTGTGTCCCTGCGGAAGTCTAGGACATGACCGAGCCAAGGTATGGGACCTCGGTCTAGCGGGGGTTCTCCAGGGCGTCTTCTGCGAAATGCGCCCAGGAGATAAAGTCCACCGAGAATAGAAACCAGCACTGAAAGAAGAACCGAGAGTAAAAAGCTCATTTTGCCAGACTGTCCCACAGAGCTGCAATGAGTAAAAGCACCACTTGCTCTGAATATAAAAGGAAATTCTTGCTCCTCCTCCTGACTGCAATATGCTGAAGCTGAGATCATTGCATAATCAAAAGTAATGGGAAACCTCAGCATTTAACTCTTTTATTGCCTTGTAGTTGTTGAGTTCACATTTCATCAGTATAAGGAGAGCAGCATAACTGAAATTCTTTACTAACACTAGAAAATATCTGACATCTCCTTTCAAAGGTGTTTTGAAAACATCATGTTCTTGACTCTAAGTCTGCAGTACTACATTTTTTACAATGTACTTTTTATAAATGTTTTACCCATATTAATGTAAACATTTTACATCAATTCTAGAAGTTTCCAAGGAGAGGTATCTCGATTTTTTAAAATGTGCTAATATTATGTGATATACACATAATATTAATTTGTGATTAATAATAACAGGCAACATTACCTTAATATATAATAACATTATTTATCAAGATAATAATGAGCTTATCATCTTTCCAGTGGAAAGCATCCTTGGCTATGTATGAGAAAAACAGTATTTGAATTCCTCTCTCTCTTTTTTCGATTGTAACTGAAATATCATATAGGACGGGAATTATATGGGCCATGAATTCATGAATTCATAGCCCAGAAATATTTAGTTTTTAAAAAAATAAAATGTATTACTATGATATATACTTATCCCTATGTAAGCACAGCATTACAACAGTTTCATTACACTCACCATCTCTTATCACACAATGAAAAAAACTCACTAGGGTTCAGTTAAAACTGAAAATCATGTATCCATGTGTACACTGGAAGTGTTTATTCAACTGGGACTTGAAAGGATCTTTGTCCTCTACTGCAAAATAATATAAATGTAACAGGCAGGGTTTTTGTGTTGGTGTGTTAGTATTCATTTAGTGCACTGATTTTTTCATTCTAAGTTTCAAAATGAGAACAAAAAAAATACACTTCAAAAATAACCATTGATGTCCTGGAGAACTACTGAAGTGTTCTGTGAGTGCTCATGAAACAGCCAGATGAGGCTGGAAAAAGCTAAAGCCTCATTTGACAATTAAATCCATTGACTGAATGCTTATGTTTGTTTTTCACTTCTAGCATTAGGTTTCAACACTTATTTTCACGGTGTTCCCTCTTTCGTTTCCACTCAATTTTTTTCTAAATCTTTCTAGATTCCAGATCTGATTTTATTTTTAAAGCATTGCCTCCCACATCACCAAATCAGGTCTCATACCACATCCAGGTGGATACTGCACATTGGTGGTGGTGGACGGGAGTCCCCCCATTACCTGTAAAACTCTTCGAGTGGGGTGTCCAGAAAAGTGCTACAGAT